AGGTTGAAGGTCCCCGATTCTTGCAGGAGTAAAACGAAAGTCATACTCAGCATTTCACAGAACGGGACTGTGCAAGAGGAGCTCTCCAGGAGCGCTTACCATGAACACCAATTCAGCGTATTCAATCAGGAAGTGGAAGAGATATATTATCAGCGGGGTCTAAAAGAGAGCAGAAGGGAAACCTATGTCAAATACTATCGAGATAAAACAACCGGTGATTTGATGACAAAAATGGAGCAGTACTATGACAGACTGTGAAATGCAGTTTTCCTTAGCCTCTTCTACAATGCTGTTACTTCAGAGTAAAGCGATTGAACAAAGCACACTTCTGGTCTTTTCCCGTGCAAAGTTCTCAATACACTTTATAAAAGACACCATCAACTTTGAAAATTATATTCTATTGCAACTTTTCAATTCTGCTAGCATAGCGGCAGAGTTACAATAGAAAGCATACAGAGAGCAGCTTTAGAAAATAATCTTTTCTAGAGAAGCTATTTTTTCAGGTTGTTTGCAGGTACTTTTGGAAGTATTTCCTACATAGCTGGTTTCAATGTTTAGCCTGTTGTCTAGATGAGTCTTTTATAAAGCAAAAAGAAGAAACCATGTTAAAAACATAAAGCAGTAGCACTACAGTCCTATCATCCTCTTACACCCACAGCGTTTCCCTTCTAGGGTAAGAGGAAGAGCATGTTTCTGAATTATTCCTTTGACAGAAAAGCTTAATCTGGAAATACTGTATTTACACGGTGTAAACTCAGTCTTTGCTGTGAGAAAATATGTTTTCTTTTGAAATACTTTTAAAATAATGTGATGGTATAAATAAGCACGGGAAAATATTTCACAGTCTGGAAGAAAATTGTGTTTAAAGGAGAATTTATTGAAGAGAAACAAGTTTTCAGAGGTATACAAAGTATCTGCCTCATCCCTAGGTGACACTACGTATGAGAGTACCTTCATATCAGTAAGGCCACTCAAGGGCACAAAAGCTCCACAGGTGCTTAAGTGTTTTGAGGAGCAAGGTGTTTTCAAGATGAGGAACGAATGTACCGCATTCTTGTGCTCATGTTAATATTTCTGCAAATGCAGAAACTCAAGATGCTGCTGTCCCGCAAAATTGCAAAATTGTCTTCAGACTCACAAGGACGCTGTCTCTGCCTGCTCCGGCCTCTGCTGACAGAAACATCTGGATGTGAACAGGTATTTTACTTATTACAGCTTTCCCCTATTTCAGACTCTCCTCATGCAGTAATAAACATTACAACGTCTATCATCTGCACAGCAACGAGTTACTCCATGACGAACTGCATTTCCTCATTGTGCTAGTCACTACATATACAACTACTGCACAGACAACTACCCGACTCCAAGTTCTCTGAAGTCTTTGGGACAAGACAGATCCCCAGCCTTTGCCAGTCCGTGAGCAGTAAGACTAAGAAACGTGCCACTTGAACATTACATTTCGAATTAAGCGTGCATACCGACCTCGTGAAAAATAGCTCCAGAGTATGGCGAGACCCCTAAATCCAGCAGAGCTAATCCTTCGACCACTGAAACATACAAAACGCCTGCGTTAGAACCCTGTAATGTGGGGAGAGAAAAATCTCGTGATGGCAAAACGACAGTTTTTAACACACCCACGCTCATAAGAATCTCACATTGAATCGCCGTCTGAATGGGTGACACAAAAGGCCACAAAGCCAACAAAGAGCTAGAATTGATTGTTTTCTTACTTCTGCCATGTAAATTTCTGTAGTAACCGAATGGTCAGTTGTAATTTATTTATTTGTTTCAGCTAAAAATGTTGGAGCTGAAATGTTTTGCACTTAACTATAAAGAAATCACATGTATGATATTTACCGATTTTAAGTCACCTATTATGTGATACATGGTATCTACGCTGGAGAAATACTTAATTCTAAGAGGACAAATCACGACATAATACACAATTTGAACTATTTTGCTTAATTAGATGTAGAGAGACCTGAAACGTGCAAAACCACGATAAAAGAGCAGAAATGAATACATATTACCAGGCAAAGCTAAAAGCTTTATCCGTTGTTGAAACTTCCTGACATTTTACAGCCTTAATTCAGACCCTTTGCGATCATGTAATTACAGCTTGCGCTGCAATGTGTGCACATGTTTTTCCACAGCATCTCCACCCTCCTGAGCACAAAGGTTCCCTGGGGACTGAGCAGCGTGCGCAGTGGCAGGAGCTATGGGAAACAGGTCCATGTGTTCAGAGGGAAATGAGGCAGGAGACCGCGGGAAGCAACAAGTTCTCGGTTCGGCGATACACTGGAGAAGCGGATCCTGCCTCTGCCACGAAGTTCCCGTATGACGACGGCCCAGACTTTTCAAGGCGATCCTAACCGTGCTGCTTACTCTCCAGAGGCCCACCTTGCTGCTCTAAGGTAAGATTTTAAAAGCGTCCATTGCTGCAAGGGAATTTTTGCGAGCTGTATTTTGAAACCGCGAAGCGTGAAGCGCTACGCGCCGCGGAGCGCAGGCCTTAGGTCATCATATGCGTTCATTCTTTTGACCTGTATTAGTCTGTGCCACTGTTTTCCACCCTTAAACTGCAAATAATTTTACCTGCATAATAACTGGATATTATTTTCCCAAAGGACTGTCTGTAAGATAAATTAAGGTTCCTAACGGGCTCAGAGGCTACGGAGATGAATGCCACCAAAAAGCCTTGATTAAACCGCGCCTCAGTCTTCAGGAGAGAACCTGAACCACGTCGGTAGCGAGGCGCGGGGCCGCAAACCGACGGAGGGGAACGAAACGGCGCCGA